GGGAGACTGCTGACATCTATGCCTGTGTATCCACTCCAGGTTTCAATCTGAACTACAAAGGACCTATCTAGTCTTAGTGAGCAGAGTGAGTTCTTAAAGTCACACTTAACACCCCACCAGAGTGCCCCAGGGGTAATTTTCCCAAAAATGTCAAAATGTCTCTAAATGATATTAATGGGATACGGGAGGGGGCATTCCCACCATATCTGGAGACCCTCACCCTTATAAAGGGTCAAAAGAATTTGATGGGTCTCAATATATCAAAATGCCCTTTTGGACCTAGAAATGCCTAAAAGCATGGTGAGAATGTATTGCTGAAGGCTTTCACGGCTGGAATCACTGGGTTATTGTAGGTTTTTCGGGCTATGTGGTCATGTTCTACAAGCATTCTCTCCTGATGTTTCACCTGTATTTATGGCAGACATCCTCAGAGGTTGTGAGATCTCAGAGGTTGTTAAGAGACTACTTCTTAAACATAGCCATATAGCCCGAAAATCTTACAACAACCCAAGGTGAGAATGCCCCCCCCCAAAAAAAATGTCCTTTGGGAGTGTTCTTGGAGAGGTGAAGAGTGGTCCTGGCTAAAGAGCCCCCTTAACCTTCCACAATTGCTCACCTTTGAACTCTAAACCTAAAATAGGTTCAACATCAGGTTACTCCTTTGTGTCTGAACTGAGATATAGAGTGGAGTCACCACTTTACTAACATGGAAGCCCCTTGCTGTCAATAATTGCAAGAATCAATTATCATGATTTTCCATGTTCCTACAAGTCAAAAATGAGCCAGATATTGTCAACTAAGTAAGCTACCAGAATTGTGGTTGCTACAGCAATTATTCTTCTTAATCTCATTTACAAGTGTCCACATGAAAGGCAGATTAATCCAGCAAAGCTCTCTGACTAGAACATATTATCCAACATTACTCAACTGGAAGCTAGAATATACGTGGCCAAGCAAAATCAGAGTGTGGTCCAGATGGTAAAACGAGGGAGAACACATGGATACCAGCAGTTTGCTTTACTAAACTTACTGGACAGTGGCAAATTTCCACCGTTCCTCTCCTTTGCTGCTTGCTGAGTTGTTGAGGGAAAACTGCTTTTATGCAGTTATCTCGGAGACTGTAAATGTACTCTGTCACTAGAATGGTTTTATATCTTACTTTTTAGAGATGACTTGTTGCAAGCATGTCCAAGAGTTTGGTCACCGCCACATTAATCGCAGCACAGCATGACAATCTAGTTTTTCTTGTGGATGCCTGCAAGCTAAAATGCTTTCCTGAACTCTCTGAAATTCTTATTGTTCCTCATCTATCATATTTTAAAGAAATGTATCAATGTAAATCCCCTCTTCTTCTCATTCTTCTCATTTCTCTCCTCCTCCTCCTCATTATGATTATGATTATTACATCTTTTTCACAGCACTGAAACTCAAGGTGGCTTTCAAAAGTTAAAACAGAATACAGCTAAAAGTCCATGTCACACAGAACATGACATTAAAGTATCAACTGTGTTACTTCTATAGTGTACATGTTCATCGAAAAGGCCCTCTCCTCTGTTTCCATCTGCTATACTTCTGAAAGTGATAGGACAGAGAGAAGGTTCCCCTTGAAGATCTCAAAATATGGTGTCTATATGGTCCTTCGAATAATCTGGAACTAAGCTGCATACAACTTGCAGATCACACAACCCACATTTGAATTGAGACTATAAACAGATTGCAGCCAGTGGATCAGGTGTTGAAAGGGAATTGTATGCTCCCAGCATCAGGCTGTGTTAACAATCGGGCTGCAGCTCAATGGTCCAGCTGCAATTTTGAAACATGCATAGACTGATGTATTAAGTCACAAAAGGAGCCTGTGTGGAGCCTTCAACAGGGCAAGGTACAAGGATTGGGAAGGGTTTTGGTGTTCAGTTCAACGCAATGGATCAGGGGAAGGGTAAATGAAAGGAAAATTAGAAGCATTGTACTTGTACTGTACTGTATTGTACTGGAAGTATAATGTTTCTATTATGTATGTGAAACTAAATATAAGCTTCTATAAGCTGCTTTAGGAGGGTTTGTCCTAGAATGTGGCCTATAAGTACTTTAAATAAATAATTATTATGGTAAAGTTACGCAGTAAAGGGGATTCAAATAGCAAGTCAGTTTTTTCTTTTTTTTCAGAATTGTATATTTTTAATAAAACAAAAATAATTATATCACTATCCCTGATGAAGCCACAGTTATCAATCTCTTATACTATCTGTAATGTGTTTCTGGGTTGCTGTGAGTTTTCCAGGCTGTATGGCCATGTTCCAGAAGCATTTTCTCCTGACATTTTGCTCACAACCCCTGAGGATGCCCACCATAGATGTGGGCAAAACGTCAGGAGATAATGCTTCTGGAACATGGCCATATAGCCCGGAAAACACACAGCAACCCAGTCTGAGAGTTTCTTGGAACCAAAATTGTGAAGGTACCCTGTCTACACTATAGAATGAAATTGGTTTAATCTTCCAACACACTCTTCTCTTGAAAGTGCAGGATAGAACAACAAATCTTGGCATTATCTGCTGGTCATGGGAGTTGTGTGTGCCAAGTCTGGTTCAATTTCATTGGTGGCATTCAGAATGCTCTTTGATTGTAGGTGAACTATAAATCCTAGCAACTACACCTCCCAAATGACAAAATCAGTCTCACCCCCCAACCCCACCAGTATTCAAATTTGGGCATATCGAGTATTTGTGCCAAATTTGGTCCAGTGAATGAAAATATATCCTGCATATCAGACATTTATATGATGATTCATAATAGTAGCAAAATTACAATTATGAAGTAGCAATGGAAATAATGTTATGGCTGGGGGGTCACCACAACATGAGGAACTGTATTAACGGGTTAACACAGCATTAGGAAGGTTGAGAACCACTGCTATACACAAAGAGCCACCGTGGCATAGTGGTTAGAGCAGGCATGGGTGAACTTGGGCTCACCAGGCATTTTGCACTCCAACTCCCACCATTCCTAACAGCCTCAGGACCTCTAATTTTCTGGGTTGCTGTGAGTTTTCCAGGTTGCATGGCCATTTCCGCTTAAGCGGCTGAGGGGGAAAAGGAAAGATCCTGAGGCTGTTAGGAATGGTGGGAGTTGAAGTCCAACACCTGGAGGGCCCAAGTTCACTCATGCCTGGGTTAGAGTTTGGAACAATTTTTGAGATCAAGGTTCAAATCCCAGTTCGGCTATGGAAAGGTGACCTGGGGCAAGTCACACACTTTCATCCTCAAGAGCCCCCAGTGGCACTGTGGGTTAAACCCTTCTGCCAGCAGGACTGAAGACTGACAGGTCGCAGAATCGAATCCAGGGAGAGCGTGGATGAGCTCCCTCTGTCAGCTTCAGCTCTCCATGTGGAGACATGAGAGAAGCCTCCCACAAGGATGAGAAAACATTAAAAAAAACCATCCAGGCGACCCCTAGGCAACATCCTTGCAGATGCCCAATTCTCTCACACCAGAAGTGACTTGCAGTTTCTCAAGTTGCTCCTGACACGAAAAAAAAAAGACCCAAGAGGTAGTCAGGGGAAACTTTTAGTTATTTATTTTTTACTAGCCGTCCCATTGCTGTGGCCCTGTCTGTGTATATGTTTTGTGTGTATATCTATGTGTATATATGTGGTTTTGCGCATGTGTTATATAGACTAGCTGCCATGCGTTTCTGTGGCCCAGTCTGTATTTGTGTATATATGTGTTTGCGTGTGTGTGTGTATGTATGTATGTACGTATGTGTGTGTATGTATGTGTGTGTGTGTGTGTGTGTGTATATATGTGTGCATATATATATATATATATATATATATATATATATATGGTTTTGTGCATGTGTCTTCTGCTGTGTTTTTCAGTATTTTTATGAGTGGTGGTCACTCGTTGGCCTTTTTTTTGGTCGTGTCAGGAGCGATTTGAGAAACTGCAAGTCGCTTCTGGTGTGAGAGAATTGGCCGTCTGAAAGGACATTGCCCAGGTGACGCCCGGATGATTTGATATTTTTATCATCCTTGTGGGAAGCTTCTCTCATGTCCCCACATGAGGAGCTGGAGCTGATAGAGGGAGCTCATCCGCCTCTCCCCAGATTTGAACCTGCGACCTGTTGGTCTTCAGTCTTGCCAGCATAGGGGTTTAACCCATTGCTCCACTGGGGGCTCCTACCCGCTGGCCTGATAGGTGTATTGTGTCTAAATTTGGTGTCCATTTGTCCAGTGATTTTTGAGTTATGTTAATCCCACAATCGAACATTACATTTTTTATATATAAAATTTATTTACTGTATTTACTGTGGAGCCCCTGGTGGCGCAGTGGGTTAAAGCACTGAGCTGCTGAGCTTGTTGATTGAAAGGTCGCAGGTTTGATTCTGGGGAGTGGCGTGAGCTTCCGCTGTCAGCCCTAGCTTCTGCCAACCTAACAGTTCGAAAACATGCAAATGTGAGTAGATCAATAGGTACCGCTCCGGCGGGAAGGTAATGGCACTCCATGCAGTCATGCCGGCCACATGACCTTGGAGGTGTCTACGGACAACGCTGGCTCTTCGGCTTAGAAATGGAGATGAGCACCACACCCCAGAGTCAGAAAATGACTGGACTTAATGTCAGGGGACTACCTTTACCTTACTGTATTTACATTCCGCTTTTCTCAAGGGGGGGGGGATGAGTGGAGGAAACTCAAAGTAGTTTACAACAAGTGATGGCAAAACTCAATGTCCCACACATACATATATACATACATACAGAAAACCCTGTGAGGTGTGTGAGAGACACACGAAGGCGCTCAGCAACGACACAGAAGTACTCCCCTTCCAAGGCAGGTAACTTAACTTGGAGTCAGGTAAGTCAGGGAGAAAGTTGCCAGAGCTGGGGGCGCATGCGCACTGGAAAGGAGAGGACCAATTAGGAAGCGGGCGGGCGTTCGGGCGGCGAGGGGCTTCTGCCAAGGGTCGCTGCCCCAGCCTTTTTCCCTGTCCGGGCTGCTCACCTTGCCTGCAGTCGCAGTAGCCCCAGTCCACCCTGCCGCGGCCGTTGCGGTAGAAACACCAGGGCCTGCTGCGCCCGTCCGGGTTGCGGCAGAAGTTGCGCTGCCCGCGGAGCCCCTTGCCCTGCGGGGTCTTCTCCAGGAAAGTGGGCACCTCCGCCCACGGCAGGCACTCGGCGCCGGACTCGGTGACGTTGACGAAGCGCCCCCCGCCGCCCCGAGGGCAGCCACCCCCGCCACCCCCGCCGCCCGGTTGCAAGTGCTGGAGGGGCAGCGAGTGGGCAAGAGGAGACAGAGGAGGAGGGTTGGGAGCAGAAGTGCCGCCTTCAAGGAGAAGCCCTGGCGCCAAGAAGAGGAGGGACACAGCCAAGCAGGCGCGCCCCAATGCCATGCTGCCGGTCCGGCTCGCTTTGCTCCATCGCCACTCGGCTCCGGAGCCCTGACTCGGAGGAGGAGGGCGGGAGGGAGGGAAGGAGGGAGGGGCGGGGAAAGGCGCCGCGGAGCCCCACTCAGCCTCTCTCGCTCCCTCTTGGGCCCCCCCTCCCCGCCTTTGCATCCCAATCCCCAGGCAGGTCGCGCGCCACTCCGAGAGGCGCGCTCTTTCCGCACGCGCTCTTCTCTCCAGCGCTCCTGTCCCAAGCGCTCCTTGTCAACCTCCTCTTTGCCTGCATGGTAATAGTATGATAGCTGGGTCCGGAAGCTCCGAGCCTTACGGAGATGCCACATCGCTCTTTCAGGAGCGCTGTTTGCGCAAGAGAGACTTAGCTAATGTCAGCCAGGCCGGAGACAGATTACATAGAAGGAATGGGAGAGGTCTTGGTGACAGTATGATGGCTGGGTCCGGAAGCTCCGAGCGTTACGCACAGTCCACAAAAGTGGTTGTGAATAAGGGAAAGGGAGAGCGGCACACTCAGGGTGGGAATAAACTTCAATTTGGTGGAAGGATAGAAAGGAGGGGAGGGTTAGGATAAAGTTTAGGGAAAGGTTTGGGGTAGGGTAAGGGTTAGGATTAGTGTTAGAATTAGGCTTTGGGGTTAGGGTAAGGTTTAGGGGTTGGGTTAGGATTAGGGTTAAGATTAGTATTTAGGGTTAGGGTAAGGTTTTGGGTTTGGATAAGTTTTAGGGCTTTACCATTAAAGAATTCTTACATTCTTTCTGTAATATCTGTATTCCATTCTGCCTTGCGGAAACAGCGTAAGGCTCAGAGCTTCCTGACCCAGCTTTCACACTATTACCGAGTTCTTTAATGGTAAAACCCTAACCCGAACCCAAATCGCAACCCTGAACCATATGGTAAGCCAAAGCCTAACCCCTTATGCAAACCCATACTGCAACCCTGAACCATTTGGTAAGCCTAAGCTTAACCCCTTGCCCAAACCCTAAACCGTACCCTAACCATAACCCCTAGCCCTAACCGTAACCCTAAACCTTGCCCTAACCCTTACTCTCCTTTTTATCTTTCCTTTGCTCTCCCTGCCCCCTCTCTTCCCTTATTCACAGCTGCCTTTGCGGCATCTCCATAATGCTTGGAGCTTCTGGACCCAGCTATCATACTATCACCATAATTTACTTCACAAAGTTACATTTGTGAAGTCCAAAACACCTGGAGGGCTGAAGTTTGCCCATGCCTGGAGATGCAGGTGGTAAAAGTATGATAGCTGGGACTGAGTGCAGGTAGCGTTACACTGATTCCGCAATGCGACTTTGCCAGTGCTGATAGCGCAATCCAGCGGTAGGTGGCACGATGCCAGGGTTCTGCCTTATTCAGATAGAAATGAACCAAACAATCACCCAGTTTGTGTTAAACAATTTAATTAAAGCAGCACTTACTTTCTGGCTGTTTTATTAGTCCAAAATATAAAACATAAAGATAGCACTCAGCCACAGAGAGCTCAATGAGCTAAGTCCAGGGATCAAGGTCTATAGTTCTATACCGTAGTCAAAAGCCAGTCTAGAGATTCAAGGTTCCAAGAGCACAGGAGGCAGGTCAGGAGACCAAAAATCCACAAACCTGGGGGGAAACCAGCAGTATCTACCACCAAAATAAGACAAATACATACTTTTATGCTGAACATCTGTCCCAAGGCTATCTCCTTATATCCAGAAACACCCAGATGCAACCTATCTCTTGCATACCTCCACCCTTAATTGCTTTCACCCATGAACTCTTACTTACAGATTACTCAACCCTTTAGAACTAAGACTTACATTAACCCTTCCATCACCAACTGCTAGGCCTGCCACCACCATCCACCATCAACTGCAGAACATGATACATAACAGCAGGATACCATTGAACTCAGTTAACACAGGCAGGACACAGATAACACTGAAGTAATCCTTCCCTCTTTATTGTCCCCCCCCCCCTTCTGAACCCCCTCCCTTTCTGACCCGCGTTCAGCTCCTCTTCGGTTTCTACAAACTATCTTGCCAACTCTGTCCCACCTGCGTCTCTCACTCTGCCTGGTCTCATTCCGCCCGCTCTCTCGACCACGTGGTCACACAAGTGTTCCTCATTCGCAACCACCTTTCCAGCATTAGCGTAACGCTACCCACACTCAGTCCCAGCTATCATACTTTTTCCTAAATTATATTAATATCCAAATGTCCTTTGACCAGTAGCTGGTCACTTAGAGTGCCTCTGGTGTTTCTGTAAGAAGGTCCTTCATTGTGCATGTGGCAGGGCTCACATTGCATTTTGGTCTGTGGTTCACTCTTGGACATTTAATATAATGCCAAGTTTTCAAACAAGTTTGGAACAGGTAAACTGATTGAATGTGAACTTCTAGTCATCCTCCTCTCTGAATGACAATGAATGGAGATAAGTTTTTAATTGTTTTAGAAGGAGAAGCACTTTTGCAGATTTAGAAAAGTGACTGTGAACTGTGACAGCTATCTTTCCAAGCCACATAAGAGGATAGTTAATTTAATACGGTCAACTCCGATTCTGCATCCATAGAATGATTTTTTTTCAAAAATAAATCCAACAAGAAAACCTTGATTTGGCAATTTTATATCAAAGGGGCATCATTTTATGACACCACTGGATATCCTGAGACTTAAGCATCCATGGATTTTTGGGATCCATGGGGATCCTGCAATCAAATCCCAGCAGATACCAAGGGTGCACTGAAGTTACAAATATGAAAAGAAAAACACTGCAATGGGGGGAGGAGGAGGAGGAGGAGAAAGAAGAAAAGGAAAAAGAGGAAAGGGATTAGGCAGCAGCAAAATAACTGAACCCATTACTTTTTGGTTATGGTGGAGGGGCAGAGTTGAAGGCAACAACCATCCAGTTGACTACACAGCATGCTTTGCTCCTGTCCACCTCGAACTTCAATGCACATAATGGAAACATTTGGCAGCACCAGTCAGAGATTTTGAACCATGCAATATTCAATTCAGCCTTTGCACCATGATACCAAAGCCTAAGAATCTACAAAGTGATTTAAAAGCGAGCAAAATGGTAGTTGTGATACATTTCTTCTAGATCCCCGAAGGACAGAGTTAATCACTTAAACATTCAGTAGTGTGACTAACAAACTCTAATGAAGATATCTTACTATCTCCCTCTATGAACCATCTTGGAGATTAAGATCTTCCAGGGAGGCCTTGCTCTCGGTCCCGCCTCCTTTGTGGGCGCAACTGGTGGGGACGAGAGACAAGGCCTTCTCAGTGGTGGCCTCTCATCTTTGGAACTCCCTCAGCAATGAAATTAGATCAGCACCCTCTCTCTTGGCCTTCAGAAAACAAGCAAAAACATGGTCGTGGAATCAAGAATTTGGGCAGTAAGCAATACAAGGAACGAACAGGGATACGTGCAATGATTATTTGATATTGGAATGCCCTGGACAATGCTTTTTGGATCATGTGATTCTAATGTCTATATTAATATGTTTTTAACTCCAGGTTTTAATGTTAAATGTTATTACATTTTTTGATTTAATTGATAGTTTTATGTTATTGTTTTTATGTTAGGTTTTCATATGCTTGTGAGTTTTGATGTGAATATGTTGGAAACAGCTTTAAGTTCCCCCTGGGGTGAGAAAAGTGGTATGCAAATGAAGTAAATAAATTTTAAAAAAATGTAAGTATACTAGTACAGGAGGCCCTTGGTATCTTCTGTGGTTTTGTTCTAGGAGTTTTTGTTCTAGGTGCTCAAGTCCCATTATGTACAATGGGTTAGTAAAATTGGTGTCCCCTTATATAACATGGTGGAATCCTTGGATGCAGAATCTATGGATATGGAGGGCCAACTGTTGTTTCAGCCTTCTCCGGTTTTTTTTTTTTTCAAAATGAAAATGAGCTACCAAAGTGAGAACTTAGGATTACTGACTCCACAGATTTAATATCTTAGCACCACCGTGTCTTAACCTAGAAAGTAATATGCAACACCATCATCCATTTAAGAATGTTGATAATTGAGTCTTCTCATGTGTCATCTTGACTTCAAGTCACTTTTATTTTGAGCAATTGAAGAAGGCAGAAGCTGAAACATTACACAACTATATTTATAAACATTTGTTTCTTGTTATCTCCCCAAAAAGCAACTAAAAATTATTACACTGCAGAAAGATTTTCTCATTAGGTTATAATTGTGGTGTGATGTATTTATATTATAATTATTACCCCAAAATGAATTAATTGCAGATAATTTATTTGTTGTAACTGGTTGCTTCCAAGCTCTGCAACTCCTGGATGATTTTGGTGAAAAATCCATCTTCTGGAAACAACAGAATGCTGTATGTAGGATCTTCAGGGTATTTAGGCTATAGCGGCTTCCCTGCCCCAAGCTCCATAGTAAATTAACAAAGACCCATTGGAGCTAATGAGATTATGCCAGACAAAGCAGTTTCATGGTTTTAATGTAATTCCGCTCTACACACATTCACTCCCATTCATACCTATGTCATTTGGCTTCTCTTTCTCTCCTTGTTTTCAATGGTCATTCCAATGCTTCCCTTGCTTTCAGTGGCTGTGCTGGTTTTTTGCCATTCATTTGAGTTTATTGGTATGTTCCCCACATACCAAGTCTTAATTCACACCCTGGTATGGCTGAAGGTGCCTTAGTCTAGCATTTTGATCATGATTAGTGCAATTCACTATATTTTAAATGTGCCTTTTCTGGTTCCTATTAAGGTATATATCCATAGTAAAAGCTTTCCATGACAGGGTTGCTGTAAGTTTTCTGGGCTGTATGGCCATATTCCAGAAGCATTATCTCCTGACATTTTGCCCACATGTATGGCAGGCATCCTCAGAGGTTGTGAGGTCTGTTGGAAACTAGGCAAGTGGGTTTTATATATCTGTAGAATGTTTGCGGTGGAAGAAAGAACTCTTGTCTGGTGAAGGCAAGTGTGAATGTTGCAATTGGCCACCTTGATGAGAATTTAATGGCCTTGCAGATTCAAATCCCAGCTGCTTCGATTACATTCTCAAATTCTTCCCTATCAAGTCACTCAGTGT